GACTACTGATGGTCGAATATCTTCTGCTGACCTGAGTCATAGAAATATCAGAAACTAAGACCGGCTTTTGTCAGTGAGAATAAACAATTTTATTACACAAAATTTCACCATATATACACGTCATTGACAGAAGAACTTGGGAAATGTTAGAATTCGTATGACTCCCTAAATTTCAGCTAAACAGAACAGATGGCAGATCAGATAATATATGCTTCGAATGCTGTTGAGTCTTGTCGAGATGACACCAGATTCCATAGATCAAATACTGATTTACATAATGAGCGTGTTTTAAACGAATACGGGCGTTTCCGTAATAAAAATATTGAACGGGTATATTGGTTATGGAGAAACGAACTCACTGCGCTTTCCTTCCAATAAACTTGAGTAGGTAGAACGGAGGCGGTTGATTATGATTTGAGTTTTCCCACGTAGGTGGCATTGTATGATTCTTCATTACGTGGCTAGATGAATTCTGTGATGTGAATTCTGGATGTTGCGCTTGACTGTCTTAGAGGCGTTTCATCAACTGTTTTGACACAGTTATGCTATCTGTTGTGTCGTCTAATGTACAGCGAGCGGAATCACCTTGTTGTAGACGCCTTATATTCTTCCTTATTTATGTTATCATTATAAGTCCCACGATTATTTTTATTTTGCTTTTCACCTGTTTTGTTCTTGCTAATGAATTTTACAGAATAGTTATTTAACACCAACCAGCTATTCTTCTGTCTGTTTGATTTCATCATTCGGGTATTTTTGTTGAACTACTTATTGATGTTCTTGCTTGGTTTGTTGGACACTTAGCTGAGCCTGTCTTTACAGGTAACGGATGAGATGAGTGAAAGTCTAGTGTGCAATTCGCCTTCTTCTGTTCGCTTCATCTGACAATCTGTTATGGCTGGTTCTCCTGTTTCACTTTCTGATTCAAATGTGAATTTTATTCCCTTTACTGTCGAGTTTAGATGTGGGAAGAAGAAGCTAGACAATGTGAAAGTGTCATCCACAAATCTTCATCATACTTTGGCGGTAGGATTAAACGTAATAAGAGCTTTATTTTCCCGTTTATCCATGTAGATGTCTACTATGATTTGGGATATTGGTGATCCCACTGCTACAATGTACTACCAAGCTGATCTAGCAATGAGCGATAGTTGAATCAGATAAACGAACGTAAGAAGTTGTCTGAGTAACTTGATTTGATTATGAGCAGCAAATCGTGTTCAAAATGTCATCAGTAAACACTGGTATATGACTGTGAGACTTTATCAAAATACAAAATAGATTTTCTGCACAATGGAATTCATTCTCACTTCGTAGGTAGTTTAACAAGCTAGGGTTTCTACCGATCAGTAGGTACTTCACCTCCCTTCCTTCCTCTCCACCGCTCTTCCTGATTTTCCGCTCTAGTTGCGTGAGAATATCCGTTGAAAGTGTTTGGATCCGTTTTCACTGCTTCAGATGGAACTCCGTCTGATCCTATTGCCTTTCTCCAATTCTCCATAACTTCATATCACTCAAAACGTCTGTCACAGCTGAAGGATTGGTGTTCACTGGCAGTTGTGTGGCCTTCGGTGGTGGTATTTATGTACGAGTGCAAGCGGTGATTGGTTGAATAGTCACTTAAAGTCACCAGCTCATTCTTCCCATTGTTCCTCGTCTTTCACAATTAGACTCCATTCGCTGTCTTCCATAGGTTCTCCCTGTGTTGATTTCGCATCGGATAGCCAGCTGGTGATATGACACTGTGTATTTCCGTACCTCTATTCATCTACCTCTCCGGCCTCGGTTTCCAGTGTATCGTAGAATTTTACTCCTTATTTCCTAGCACTATTCCTCGCTTCTTTATTACCTGTAATGCACATCGAACTAAGCTACTACTTTCGGTGTCCATTTTCGTACTGGTTCATCTTCCATTTTGCCATCCTTATATTCCCCCTAAATTCTCACGTGTCTGTAGAGAGGCGTTACTTGTATTGTCTCTTCTTCCTCCCAGTTATTGGCAACACACCTTTCCGAAATATCACTTTCAGAGAATTCCAGTGTTTTTCACACAGGTTTCCTTACTGATGCCACATAATTTCACTAACATTCCTCTGATAGCTGTGGTGAAGCTGTCATTTGCAGGTTCGTTCTTGAAGTTCTAATTGTTGAATTCGACCCGTGATCTGTCAGTGGCTCCTTCAAATTCCTTCAACTTAACCCAGAGGGTTCCACGCAGTCGATTATGGTCCATTTGCCACATTTGCTCCATCCGTCAATTTCGCGTGCTGCAGGCTGCGTCGTCACCTTCTTGAGATTGAGATGAAGTCTGTTTCGTCTTTGATGTATCTCTATCTCGTGAAACCATGTCGCATTGTGCATGTCCTCGTGTCTGTACACACTGTGCTTTGACCGAATCACTGAGGGCTAGAAAGTCTGAGAAGGGTTCATATAAGTGTAAAAGTTGGCAACTGTGTCACAGTATAATTGCACTGAGCGTTAAATCGTCAGCAGTAAATATTGATGCATAACACTGAGATTTTATCGAAATAAATTTCACAAAATATACCCATTAATTCATAAGGAAAACCTGTTTCACCCTGTGATAGATATATCTAATAAACAAAATAATATGGAAGAAGAAACACAGCTGTTGTTCAGCGGAGAAATATCTCTTTTCAACGACTTCATTTTCAAGCCAACTGTACAGTCGTATTTGTATAACGGAGAAAGGCATTAAATGACACTAGAAATTGCTCAATGGTCAATACTGCACACATGGTAAGAATAAAGACAATTAAAATGATGTACTACGGTGGTAGAGTTGAAGTGGATGAATCACAGAACTTTCACAGATTACTAAATAAGTGAACTGGTATAGAGATCTTAAATTGTAGATCACGTGCTGTCTGAAAATTTAAGAATAAGATGATGATAAGAATAAAGACGGTGAAAGTGAAGTGGAGTGGAGTGAATTCAAGTGGTAAAATAGAATAAAATGAAAGCACGTTATTATGACCAAGGTAAAAGAAGGCGCTTGACAAAGATAAATCACATGTGGTTGAATGACCTGAATCGCAAAGTTGTTCACAGATTAGGATGCAACTCGCCATCACCAGAGTTTGTGTGAATTTACTCATTTCTTCACACCGATTATCTTCAATTCTAACTCCAACGAGCATACTAGGCCAGATTTAAAGATTTTCCTTGTACTGTTAATGTGCCCAGCCACACAAAATTCCGTCATCATGAGAACGCAATGCAATATACTACTTCAGCTTCCTTTTTCACATTCATCACTATCTATGCGAGAAAGTCTGTTGTACTAAATATAAACCGAAACTGTGCATGTCAATATACATGAAGCTGATGAAGTAGATAGATTGGAGAAAGAAGATAAATGGTGTATCTCAGATTCTCTGAACGCCTACTGAAATCTTCGCGATCGAGAGAAGGTAAATGTGTTGAGTGGTCGAGTTACAAGACGTCTGAGTGACACAGGACATCAGGTGCACACTTTGGATTGCATCAAATTACTAAACAGACAAGCAGGTTCAAGCCTCGTGAATTTCACAGAGGCCATCGTCATCACGAGATGGTTACTGCCTAACTTGTGTATTGAGAAAGAAGATGTGGTTAGTACTTCTCTAACTCAGTAACTTGACTTCCAGCCTGAATTGACTATGTCACCTCCACTCCTAATCTGTCACATCATCATTTACTAGAGCCAAGGCTTCATAGGTCTGATCGGTAACTGAATGAACTTAACTCATAACAAATTGTTTTCGCCTTCACTTCGTTACTAGCGATTCTTCCAATGACTTGAGTTATCTTAAATTCATGTTCCGAAATATCTTGTCGCTATCCTTGCATTCCACATTTTGTTTCTTCCGAGATAATTCGACCACATTACACGTCCGATCACGCGAATATTTTCATTTTTTATAACGTAACATTCTGATTCACCTATACAGCATGATCACTAATAATTGTTGTTAGACACGTATTTCTCCAATGAACCACACTGCACTACATTACAGTTAGTGCGGAAAGAAGTAATTAGAAGAGTACTACTGAATTTAAGCATTGTCTAGACCGACGAACTACCCTCCCAAATCCAGTTCTGGTTTTCGAGTGTGATGATTATTTCGTCATCTGTCCTCCTCTGTTCAGTTTGTTGTCATCTTCAAATGTAAGAGAGTCTGAAGTGTCTGTCACTCCATGTGGCTAAAACAATGTTGAGTTCACCCTATGGATAACTATGAGATGTTGTTTCCTCAATCATGCCTAACATGTCATTTCTGCCAAGCGCGTTGCAGGCGCTGTTGTGAGATGAATAATTTTGGTTTACGGCCATTTTCACATCTTACAAATACATGTGAACAGTCGGAAAACCAATCGAGTATAAAGACATATACACGTTAGTTTCTGGGAGCCACATATCCTCGTCCGCTCATTCGCCGTTCAACCTGCTGGCCACAGTTAGTTCTGTCCATCGTATTATCGTCGGTTTGATCAACAAATCCACACTCACTCAAATAGCCACATGATTAGTTGAATTCTCTGTCCTAAATATCGCCCTTAACAGATGCAACAGAAATTGACTCGACACAATTCACTTTCATAATATTGCCACCTTTAATATTTTTCATAATGTATCTGTGTGATTTCCCCTCACACACACACACATTTTCTCAGTGCATCTCAACATCACCATCGTCATCATCACCATGATCTTCACCATCATCGCTCATATCGATTTACTCATGAAAGACTAAATCACAGTTCTCAGCTGACACCGAGATTGCACACTTAGTAGATCGACGTGTGAAATTGGAGGGAGTGAAGCGAGAAGAAGTTTGTAGCATGAACGTTTATTAAGAGAAAAGAGAGAAAAGCCTCCTGACCACCGATGACAATCGTGCACCTTCCGGAATTATTACTTGTCATTCACCTGTCATGAATGCGTCTTCACTCATCTCCTTCTTCAGAGGTCTCCAGGGGTGCTGAAAATAAGAGGCGTTTGACATGTGTGTAGTGCACATTATTTCAAAATGATAAAATCCTCGGACTGAAAACTATACTTTCGGGCTTCTCCCTGGTGTTTATTTGTTTCACCGATAAACTGGAAAGCACATTTCAGTCTCAAGAACTACTGAGAAGTTAGAATATCATCCAGTCTACCAGCTGACTTCATTCTGCCCTATCTTACTGTATCTTTCAACATATGTCCAAATCGGAATGCGAGTCACGAGGAAATACAAAATCAAAAGTAGATCCACTTGGCTATACATGGATAGACTTCTGTCTTCCAACAACCACCCGAAATGAAGTCACACTGAATCTGATCCAGTCGTGCAAAAAAGAACACTGAGTTAGCGCGACACCACCCTTACAAGGCATATGATAATCATCTATTAAGGAGACATACCGTATTCATGCTTGCTCTCCTCGTCCATTTCTTTGACCAATGCAACTGCTCTCCGATAAGGATGGTCATCTAGAAAGCACATCACTCATATCACACGTCAACGTACATCTCATGAATTCCACTCTTCTGTATTCCATGGTCTTCACAGCTCCTCCGAGATATTCTATCAAATAACCAAGTCACACTGCAATCAGTATAAAAATCAAACAACTGTTCACACTGGAATCGAAACACACATTTCACTGCAACGCATGTATGAATTCTGCTTCACTACAGCTGGGAGTACCGCGACATGTTCTTCACCAGGACAGTTGAATTTCATGTCCATGTTCATGTTTAAGTCACATGACCACAATTCCACATGACGACTATCAGTCCTACAGCGGGGTGTTGTCTCTGACATATCGACTGCCTTGTTACCTTGAGCACAGACAACCGGTCTCATAGTTGAAGTGACAGTCAGAAACATTCAATTCACCAGGGAATCTTCGAGGACTAGTGAACTGTCAACTTGAAGAAAGGCACTTACCCATATAATGTGTGAACGATATTCCGAGAAGTCATTTTGTATATGTGCACTCAACTATCAACATTCGACTACTGATTGTTCCAGTACGTCTAGTTAAGCGACGGAACCGAGGAGGAATCCAATGTTTTCTGCACGTTTCGACATATGGAAATCTCATCTGCTATCGGAACGGCCTATAATCACATGAATATTCAATATTTCACAAAGAGGAATGCTCAAGTTCGAAGATGTTGCTCCATAACAACGCCGTATCAAGTCTCCTGGAAGCATAATAAAACTCCCAACTTCCCGAGGACGATGCTTCTTTGATGATAAAGACACTCATGACATGGATGATGAGGTTGACTTGCTGGTTCTGTTGAGGAATCATGTAACACTATCCATCTGAGGAGTAGAAGAGCTAAGCGAAATGTGACCTATTTTGGTTGGGTAGCAGGAAATCAAAAGACTTGCCCTAGATAGCGTGAAGACGACATGATCACTGAACCGTGAAATTTATTAATCTGGTGCATGAAGCACATGGATTACTCACTCTCCCTAGTGACACTGATAGATAGACGATTTAATCAACTCACCAGCAGATTTGTTGAATTTTCCCACCGCGTCATTAAGCACCTTCATTTGTTTGTTTGAGTCCGATGAAACTGTAAGTGAATATGACAAGTAAATGAGCACGATTAGCAGAGTGGAGAGACTGTTTGCGATTTACATCACTGTCTATCAGGTCAAATGAAATGAATTCAAAATTGTGTCGGAAATCTCAAAGAAGAGGTTAGCTTTGAAATCAGTTCTCGCTCAAATGCAATATTCACTCCAATGTGTGACTGTGTTCTCCTGCTGAAAATGTCGAGTTCTCTTTTCAAAAGTGTAATACACGGAATACTCAACTCACGTTTTACGCCCTCGTACTTGATGAATTCGCTCAATGCTGACAGACAATATTTTTCAGTGAAACCTGAAACACGTGTGAAGCAGAAATCCAATTTCATACAGTCATGATATGAATGCTGGAAACAAGACTTGTGAGCATAAATTAGCGAATGATAAGGGAAGCACACGGAAGACTCGTCTACAGACCGCGACTGTTGTCGCCTGAATCAGTTCAGAGTGGTGTGCGGATGTGGTAGAGTGTCCTGAAATCAAACATCGAATGCAAGAAATCCTTTCGAATGACTGTGTGGAATTCACGGCCACAATGAGTGGTGATTCGAGTCCATGATGAAGATGATGATGATGGAGGAGGAGGAGGACAAGAAGAAGACAAAATATCACTCACCTCGATGGATCTGCATTATGGCTTTGGCATTCGCGAATCCCTCTTTTTTCAAGAAATAATTTACACCTATTCAAGTGATAACAAAATGAAATCCCGTGATAATGATACACGAGAGAATGTTAAGCAATCATCTTGCGTGAAACCTCGAACGACTTCTCTCTCATCTTCTAACTCAACCCTTAGTCGGATATCATGGTAGACATCTCGATGAGAAATCAAGGCTTTGTGATTCAAGCCGACATTTGAAATATGCACTAGTGTGTGTGATACCTGCGAGTGTTCCACGTTTGGTCATGTTCAGTATTAGCAAGCACATTGGGAGAAACTAGCAGAAATGTGACTTCAACATGGAGAAAATCTCCATTTAGACATTTAAAAGACTAGAGAATTGAGAGAAGAAATGTTCACTTCTCAATCAGACGCTCAGCTACTGGCTCTATTCTAATGTACACGGAAACTTTTCATACAATATAAAATGAGATCGTCCCGAATGATTTTGTGAATATCTGCATGGATGGGAGCGTAGGAGTGAATTCTCACTACTGTCCTCGGTGACATGCAAACAACATGAACTGAAATGCAATCAGATGAAATACACTCGTGGACATCAGCGAAACACTGATTTCAACTCACCTCTGTCTTCCTTAAATTTTGAGGAGTCTCTTCTATCCAGTTCTTGCAGATATGTAGCTTTAGTGAGAAGCACAGATAAGAGAGACATGAAAACACCTCCTTAACTGTGAAATGTGACTATTTGAAAGCAAATCAGTGAGACTCGACGATGAGCACACATATCTAATAGAGGAGAATGGCGGTGGCGAATTCCTTGTGAATGTTTGATCAATGGTGAAATTGAAATTAAGACTGGCAAAACATATTCACACTACTTCTTTACATTTCGACATGATGAAATATGTGATTGTGAATTGGACAAGATATATCCTGATAAATGCTGACGTTGGATTTCTGAGCCACAACACACAGGAATTCTTTTCCAAAAGTCAATCGATCACATGAAAGTAGTTGAAGTTGAGTTGAATCTCTACGTGAAATCATTCTGTTACCATTTCTTAGTCACCACATGATCAAAAATATACTGCATACAATTCATCCAACTTGAACTCACCTGTCAAGTTATCTAGGTGTAATCTGGTCTGCCATTTCAACGAAGCATATTTATGCATGACATCGCAACCTGTTGTCAGTAAACAACACATACGATAGACAGAGGATGATAAGGCGGAAGAGATCAAACTCACATACACATCACAAATGAGAACGATCACTTTCATGGGTGATCCACATTCGAATTGAATTTGAATTTGGGCATAGCGTGGAGCTAGGAGAGTGAAGTGGAACTGTCTAGATTGTCGTGTGTCCGACATATGTGAGGTCTACAGTTCGGAACTACTCAGTATAGTCACTAATGCTGTCAATTATCCCGTGATATCCAGCACAGGTATCGTCAAGTGATTTGAGCAGAAGTGTAGATCACCACGTTGGTGTGCAGTCAGGTTGAGTGGACAGGTTTGAAACAAACTGAGAGCAATGCATTTCGGCTGCAGTTCGAGATGTTCAAGTTGTCGACAGTGGTAGACACAGGCTGACCGGGAATGATGCATATTGTAAATGACTCGAGAGGTGATTTCATTTCCTCATGGCGTCTCGGTGTGTATTCACATCTTAGAAGTTTCATCATAGTGTTGTGCAGAAGAAACGCATGCTTCAACTCATCTAGAGGTAAGTGGTCAGGTTGTTTCGAGAGCGAATACTATTCTTTCGCCATTCTCTTTACATGCAATCGTCTTCGGATCATGGACAAGTGATTTCTGTCTCCACGCCTTCTCGATCACCGTCCTTATTCTCATGTAAATGTGTATCAGTCCACTTGTCACACACACAGTCGAATAGGATAATGAATCTCGCTCACCGTATCGTATTGTTTTTCGAGTGTTCTCATTTTCCGTTCTACTTTCCATGTGATAACCTGGAATACGAAGATTCAACACGAATTTACTCCACTAAACATTACCATTAAGCATTTCAAAGTGTGATTAGTGGAGAACAAAATACTCTTTTCGATGAAGGAAATACACTGGTGTTTCGCAGTGGCTGATGTTCCATAGTGAGCATATACCGATAAGCGGATTTCACACCAATCCCGTTGGTGAAGAGATGTGGTCTGAAACCACGTCGAGTGTGTGCGTGTGTGTGTATGTGTGTGCGTATTGGTCCGTCTGTCATCAAGGCTTCCAGTAGCTTATCAATGAATTGACTAGGTGTTAACACGCGATATTCATGCAAAGAAAACTGACGATTACACTCAATTCTCACGTGTCAAACTCTGACGAAGTCAGACCTCCGTGGACGTATTTCATGTGGATTCTTCACATGACAGAAAAGACACTTCAAAGTAACCAGAACTTACATGAGTTCTTAGGAATTTTAGAGGATTCACCTGTAATACAAAAACCGATCACAGACATTTGAGTGAATCCATCGGATACATTGTGGACAGAATGCTAATACAGGCGAAGTACACGCCATTTGGTTAAATACACGCTCCATGAGGATGCAATGAACATCCGGTGTTGGATTTCATGTTGGAAAGCTATTCATATGAGTGTGTGATTCGCATGACAAATCCTCACTCACACATAAGTGTTGTGCAAATGCATACCTGAATATTGAAGTTGTAGTTTCGCGATGTCTGCATTATTTCTCAATCCCCAAATATCTTTCACAGCTAACAGATTGAATGGAAACAAAAGTAATAAGCCTCGTCATAAAGATTTTCAGATGGAGTGAAGTTATATGCATGCATGTGATTGAGTCGTCCCAATTGTGAACGTCAAGCGTTGCACGATGATGTAAATATTCGGACAGCTTAGCAAACAGTGAATCCACTTTAAATTCTGTGTAGTCGGAGTTTGGATGGTGTGAATAGCCCAGATCACTGTCATTATTGTTCACTAACTACCCTGACAGCAATACACACCGTCTGTAACATACTCATGCTCACTTCTACTCGTTATCAAGATATACATGTAAATTCGTATGGAATTCACTGGAAACATCCTGAGTTGAGTGAGGAGATGTTGAAAGGAAGAGGGACGTGTGTGTCGAAGATTCCTGTGAATAGCTTTATCCTGAAATGTGTGTCACAAACAATGTGGTTACGATTCCTAGTGAAGTCACACTGCACACAGATGTGAATAATATTGCCGTGAGTAAAGTGAAAGTCCTCCTGGTAGACAGATGATGAGGTCTATTTCACAATATACGCTGAATCACAATTAGTCTGATTATTTATAGGCAATATGATGAGAGGAATATGCATAGCATACCTTCAAGATAACCGACTGCCCATGTCAACATGTATTCGCGCTCCACTTTCTGATGCTCTGAAATCGAGACGACAGATAATAAGCAAGTGATGCAAGAAGTAAATATATCATGAGCAAGCAGACAAGACATTTTCTTCACAGGATGTTTCATTCACAGAGACAACCGTCTGAGGGAGGTGAAATGATGTTCATGTGAAACTGAATTCGTCCTTCTAACTGTAAACTGCATGAATCGAAAGTGAGTTGAAAGGACTCGTCGAAGCAGGCCTTTTCGTCTTTTGTCGGTGGACTTGTAATTCAGAGACTAAATTCTGCTAGTGAATGGAATCAGTGGTGATAGTGATAGTAAGACTTTTGCTTGACTGTCAGTAACTGGTTTAGTTAGTGATTCACTGTTGAACTGACACGCCATGTCTGGAGCATGCTGTCTGCACGAGACGTTTGAGCAACAGCTTCAACTTCAATCGATTTGTAGCCGATGAGAAAGCAGGAATGAGGATGTAGATGAGTGACTGTGATAATTCAGGTATTTAAACACGGACTGATGTGGCCAATATTTCGACTGTAAACAATAAGACAAATAAGACGAATCTCTGTTGTCAATCGTAAAGACGACATGTCGATTATGATTCGAGCTGTTTGATGCATTACGTGGTGCTACTTCTGAATAGAAGAGTGGAAGGGAAGTTTTCTTGAGAGTGAATCCCTGTGAAGCACTAATTTATCGATCAAATCATCACCGTACAAAGGACAAATTTAGATTTACATTTCACACCACAGAATATATACTGTCGACACTTTCGTTCAAATATACGGTGTTCGACTGGGTTGAAAACAGACATCACAGAGCAGTGTGGAGTCCTCCCAGGCTTCCAGTTCATTCGGAAATCAACTCACAATCGCTGATTGTGTCAACTCTTGTTCAGCCTTGAATGATTATCGTGTGAATTAGATGTGAGTGATACAATACAACTTCACGATTGCACAGAATGTAAATATCGATATAGATGTATATACACTTGTAAACGAGCTGTTAGAATACTGGTGCTACAGACATATATAAATCCGTGTTTGGCCAATGTTAGGCTTGTGTATATAAACTTCATAATGCTCCTTGTGACAATACATGAATGAAAGTCAGCGAATTTGTTCTGAACTGGAAACGTTGAGTAGTTTGAACGCGTCAATTTATTGCACACGTAAACAGAAGCAATGGGAGAATGTCTACACTATTCACAAACACAAGAAGGATCGTATCGCTTGTACTGAGCACACTTCACACTATCCCTTAACTCACCGATTTCAAACTGTTCTTGTGTGAATTTCAAGTCTTTGTTGGTCGCCATTTTCAGCAGGTCATCTACATGAACGAGAAGAAGGGATTGTAGAACCCTCTCAGGAGACTTAACAAGACATGCATGTGATGAACACAAATACAAGTAATCGTCAGTGAAGAAAGAGAATCACTTTTATTCACTTACATTCCACCAACTCGGCCTTTTGATATACGTGACTATATTGTTGTATGGCATCCGTCAAGTTGTCTGCAAATCGGATGTGGTTCATATGGGGTGAAACAAGAGATTAGTGTTGATAACTTTGACAGCAACAATATACCAGTGAAACTGATCAACGGGAATGCACAAGTCAGAAAGCAATTCTACTTTTGAATCATGAAAGCGTGACTAAGCAATATATTATTCAATCCGACTCACAGGTCAGTAGCATGCACGATACACTTCATTTAAGTCAACCTAACCAATGTCGGAGGCGAATTGGTGACCGGTATCAATTGTTAACCGATTACGCCTGCAGGGTGTAAATCTGACAAACAAATCTAACTTGCATTGAAAACAAACATCCAGTGCTGGTTAAGCAAGACTCTCTCCTGTCACTGCGCATAATAAAACAGGCCACTGAAATACTGAATCTGTAAGCTCCACCTCAAGTTCGTCCAGATTGTAAAATAAATTAACAGACTTCACTGAAGCAGGGAGTTTCATACAACTGTGTTTTTGAGAAATGATGGAAGGTACAATAAGCTGGAGTCAGTGACACGAAACTCCCTATTAACTGAAGCGAACACTCAACGGAGATATTGTTCGTGCAGTTGATGTAAGTCTGTCTCTAAGATAGTTGAGTGGGACACTAGGATGGAAGATGTCGTTGTCTACCTGTTGGAATGAGTCGCGAAGACGAATTTTAGATAGGAGACCGATTTCCCTCGTTCAGTGTCTAGCTCATCCCTTCTTAACATGAAGATAAACTAATTCACAGAAACTCCGTCTGACTCACCTTTTAGTGTATATGTCTTCACATCGTGGATGGCGATCAACACTGAAATGAGAAGAAATGCATATGGTGAAGTGATTTCACATGAAAAATCTTCATACACGTGACTCTTGAAACTGAATGACACAAGTTTCATACGACATTCAGAGATATTGATGCTTATTTATCTCACATATTTACTAGTCACAGTTTCCTGTTATTGTATTCCACGCAAACTCTGCGCCTACTCATCGCTCCAACTGTCTGAAGTAGCCCGAGAGTAGGTGAGAAACATACGTGGCTGTTATTAGCACACCTGTATCAACTGTGCAAAGATATGACGTATTCGTGCGACAAATATTCAACAAAATCACATGAAACGTGCATGTTTCATGCAACAGTCGTCTTTTCATCTTTTTCACCTCCATTCTATCTTATCAGAGTGCTTATAAAACGATATGTGTCAATGATTGAGATACAGCGGAAACACCTTCGGAAGCCTGCATAGAAAATCCACATGCATCTAGTATTTTCAATTCATTCGGATATTTGTGTTCAGGAGGGTACATCAAGCACTAATTGCATGCAGTGGAAGACTTGAAACTGACACAAGACATTTTGTGTGTGCGTGTCTGTGTGTGTGTGTGACCCAAGTGGAATAGCGTCATTACCGTTGAAGTGAATATGCAAAATGACTTACATGAAATAAGCAGAACGACGCCTTTCAGTAGGACAATATCTTCCTTGACCATTTCTCTGTTGCAGAGAAGCTATAATATCACGGCTGTATTGTAGGCTATTTATACTCCAGCTTTGGGAAAATAACTGAGATTCACCTCGTGTGCCCTTTCGTTTTCTACAATGCACTCACTGTTTTGTGTGAAACTCTCACACATGAAACAAGTATCTTCTAGTAGTTTGGGTGTTGTGAGTGCGTGTGCGATGGAATATCTGTTTTCATTGTTGGTGTACCCGATGGTTTATCACCACCACCCTTTAACACGCTTCATCTCAAGTATCCTGCAAACGCTGTTTTGAGATTGTGTGATAGTTAGTTGCTGGCTTATCGTCTTTTCTCTTGCTGCGTTCTGTGCACTTTTTCCGTGAGAGATTTCACAGCGTATTGTGTGTTAGAGAACTAGGTTATATCAAGGCGGGGGCACAATTACCATCTCAAAGATAACTCTCATTTCTGTCCCATCACGCACACGGTGGTTTTGTGAAATTTGCAGCCCACATGAGAAGTGTGTGGTTTTATAGCTGGGAAATTTTTATTATTTAAACTTAATTTATCATGAGTGCAAAATTTATTTGAGATAAACTCTCACATACGCACACATAAGGTGTTTGAATTCTAATATTGCACAAGATTAAGGTGAATGAGTTCTGAAAATATTACTGCTCACCCTAACATGACCCACTTCCGAATGTAATACAGTGAATTGTGAAATATCGCATGCAAAAGTACACGGAAAATCACAGTATCATGAAGTGGGGGAATACACCATAACCGAGTGATTGTGCATAAGATTGTCTGCTGATTCAGAAGACTTATGAATACAACTATTATCACTATTATTATTAATTACAGATGATGATCTCAATTCATAATAAAAATACTAGTTACTTCAATGTCAATGATAATGATGATAACAGAAACGATATTGATAATGGTGGATTTATTGCAAAAGTAGTTTTGATGGTACAGAATCCTCAGCGAGGAATCTCTGAGGCTTGACAACGTGTCCATGTGTGGCACTAGTAAGGTATTTACTTGACACAACACACAAGGAAGCTGTTCTGCCTTGTGACGTTATGTGAAGAGGTTTCATAGTGTTTCAGTTTTCAGAGCCCTCTAATCCTCATCACGCTAGCTGGTGAAGGCTTCCATATGCGTCTAAATATTTTCTCATCATCACACTATCTCTTCATTTCATCAGCGTGTTGATCACAAAGTTCATCTCTCCTGCCACTAACAATATTTCCTACCCAGTTCATTTGCTTTCCATAGTATCTCCTACGGAATCTCACTAGATAATTTTCTCTTCTGATGTTTTCAGACCGCACTACCAACTGGTGGGAAATATCTCAAAACCGAATAAGGGTGATTGTCACTTTTCCTAAAATACCTCCATGTTCCAGGATCACGTGTTTGTCAATGTGCATGAAACCGTCATATTCAAACCGATATTTTGACTGGAGAGTGGCCAGTCAGGCAGCCAGTGATAACGACTGAACCAATGTCGAATTCCGTCTCTTCATGAGATCTTCCTGTGATCTACATTGATTGGCAGGTGATTTGGAATGAATATCTGAGGTAGTAATTGTGGGTTTCAGGAAATGCTATTAAACTTATGGAATTCCATGATAGAGTAGTCCGGATGTATGTAGGAATATGTTGAAGTAAAATTAATAATAAGGAGAGTGATTATGAGGATAATAATAACAATAATAATAATATTATTATTATTGGCGACATACATATCAAACTTACACAGAATAATCACAACACTGATAACAGGGAATTAGAATCACCAATAGCACTTCCATACAAAGAAGCAAACTCGGAACCCTTACGGAGTATTCTTAGCATTCCAGAAATAAAAATATTAACAGCTTTATTCCAAACAGTATCTGTGGTAAAGGTATGGAATTTTCAGCGTGCATTACAATTTATCTCATCTAATTACCTCATAAATTTTATAAGATTTTAAATTCAAAAAGCAACACCAATATAAGATAAATAAAAAATAAATAGATAAAAAGAACAGCGTTGCGTTTACACTTTAAACAACGGACCACAGGATATGAAATATAAACTTAGTGTGTAATAGAAGATGAGAACAACAATGTAGTAGTAACGAGGAAAGGAAAACAAAAACTGATGGGACTATTTGTTAGAGTGCCGCAGTAAGGTGATCGTGTCATACCTAACGGATTTCTCATCACATAACAACTGTGCCAGATATGGTACTGAGGTGATTTTGTACTTGGTAGTTCTAGCATATAGCCTCCTATAGCTGCTTCTAGTTCTGCCAGATGAAATGCAAGGAGACAGCTGCGTGTAGAGTGGATGCTCGGGGTCTGACGATATTGTATTCGCCAGTTTCTTACATGACATTATGTGTCTATACGCAATAGTGTTAACCAGTTGATTTAACGATATCACACTTGCCCCACTAACGGCTTTTAATGCTTGCCCTTCTGAGCAAAACAACGTCTTTCTTGAGTAGTCCAGGAAAAATTAATGGGGAGCATTAAAGAAGGATGGGTAGAATACATGAATTGACAAAGTGAGAAAGCAAAGACTGCTTTATGCCACACTGCCTAAATTTCCTAACGTAGAACGTTAAGTGAAACATCTTTCTAGTAACTAGCAAGATGTGGGAAGACCAGGAAAGATCGGTGGAAAAACTGAGCCCAAGGTACTTGACATTGGATGTATTTTCAACCTCTATGCCGTCGATGATTTTGGGGCTGTATGAGCCAGCTAGTTGTTGTAGGTCAGATTTACGTCTGATAGTGAAATTGACTACTTGACATTTAGACGGATTCAGCTTAAGACCATTTGAAGAGGACCACTGACTAATATCTGACAGAAAGTTATTTAATTTGGAACAATCTGACTGAGAGTGGACAGGCATAGGAATAGAGAGGTCATCAGCATACTTAACAAAAGTGGCTATATCAGAATGATGCAAGTCATGTAAGAAAAACGAAAACAGAAAGGGAGAAAGAACAGCACCTTGAGGAACACCAGCTAAAGTAAGTGAGGTTGTGGAAGACTTTCCATTGTAGACGGTATACTGCTTCCTATCAGAAAAATAAAAGTGGCATTCAAACCCACAAACTCAATTATAAACAAGTTTTGCCGGTTGAAGGATCCTGTGAAGCCAACTAAACAAAACAATTTAGTTTTTTCCTATCTAATACCCTGCAACGACTGTCAGATCAAATACATAGGTGAAGGTAGTAGTAGAACGGGGCAGTCAGACTAGTGGAGCATAAAAGCCTAGCAAAATCTAAACTGGCTGACTCTAATAAGATAAGAAATCTGGAGAATAGTTCATTTTGAAGTTGTGTGGTTATAACTGATATGAATTTAAACAATAGATTGTGTTCAAAACATCAGCCAGTATATAACACTGATTCATCGTGTGATATATCTAATAAACAAATAATATGGAATTATATTATATACCACCAGAGTGCACAAATTTTACTCATATATTAGATCGAGAATAGAGTGGTGGTTTCGCAGTTAAACTTACTTTATTATGAAGACAGAATTTACTTGAGATACACTTTCGCACATGCACACACACACACACAAGATGTTCAAATTCTAATATTGCACATCATTGAGGTGAATGGATTCTGAAAAGAAGCAGCCAGTTGTTATTATTATTATTAAAACCCGATTTCGTGTGTTTGTGTGTCTGAATTCATCTAGCCAGTTAGCTGTAATTCCCTGTGTGCCAGAGAAATAAGAGTTCTTCAACAACATGTTCAGTAGATAACATGTTAATGTTAGAACGTGGTTTCACGGGATTCGCAGTGTCTTGCATATCGAATGGCAATGTTGAGCAGTGTGAATTTTGCTATCAGACATTATGAATTCATGAAATACTGTCACAGTGTTCTGCTCGCAGTTATCACTGAGCAATACATGTATGTGGACTTGAGTAGATAGGAAGCTATTTGTCGTCTTATCCAACTCGTCGAACGTCACGCTGGATGTGATAGACTGTCATTGGATGACAATGGAGCGGAGAAACACATTGCTCTAAATATTTATTCGTCACATGGATAAGTGAAGTTTCCTTTCGCACTGCGAAAACTATTACCTCATAGTTTAACAGTCATAATGATGATAGTAGCCTGACAACAATAATATTTATCCAGCGATATACGTCTCCATCATTACATTCAATAAACTATTTGACAGAGACGAATTAAAGACGAAGAAGTCGTAATCTTGAAAATAGAGACGCAGGAATAATTGATATGAGGTGTGCTCGAATACGGTCTGGATTCACTGAAATCCTGACCAGATCATTCCAGAGGCATTATTTCACATTTGTAAAGGGTGAATATCGCATCGAAGATACTCAGTGTCTTTCTCAGTTTGTGTTTATGATTTTGCATACTGTCTTTATTTTCACCTGAAATGACCACATCATTCGCCTACTCTAGATCGACGAGAAGACCCATTGTGAGAAAGAAAATAATTCCCGAGTGGTCAGGATGATACAGATTCAAATCTGTCAGTGTGCTTTTCCCTTGATAAATATGAGCAGTGTCGTTAGATGGACATTACCTTTGCATGTTTCCACACCTTCTGACGACAAATGTCAGTCAGCTTCTTGTATTATATACCAACCGAGCAATGCAGAAAACCGATGCTTAGTGAGAGTGTAATATCACCATTAATTAGGAAAAGCAGACAACACTTTTCTGAGCCTGATAACAATCATTCCGGTTGGGAGGACGCGAAAATTCGATTCCTTGTACCCATCCATTTTGAGTTGGCCAAGCTTGGGTCGCCATTTGTCAATTACCCTCACCACTGCCATCACAGGAAACTGGATGTACTACTAGAAATTGGAAGGTCGAATGTTCACCGACAGAATACACATAGTGACAGAAACAATTTTAATATAATAAGAATAATGAATGCTACTTTCGTTTATCTAATCAGATATGGATTATCAAAGTGAGGTAAGAGTAATAACAGACTGCTCTTGTGCACACAGGTGTCAGCCTTATGTTTACAGTGGCTAATGTCCCATTGTATTTCAATAACTACACTTGACCGTTTCTAGAAATAAGCTTAAACGCTCTTCTAACATCAGTCTTCGGTTAATATTAATTACACCTTTACCTATAGACAGAGGTGGCCGAATACGAAGTTCGCACATAGTTAGAGATTTCTTATTACTCTTAACCCACCTTGGTAATCATTATCTGGCCAGATAAACAAACGTAGTGTTACTTATTCGCATCAATCTTGAATAGATGGTTCACACTGTGTACATTAATTCGATATAATTTTCCTTATAAAATGATTTCACAAGTGGATGAGTAGCCAGATTCCTCGAAATGTAAAGCTTAAATACGTCACATTTTCAGGATAAATCTAATTCTCCCACTCAAACTCCTTTACTGCTCCCCATTAATTTTTCCTGGACTACTCAAGAAAGACGTTGTTTTGCTCAGAAGGGCAAGCATTAAAAGCCGTTAGTGGGGCAAGTGTGATATCGTTAAATCAACTGGTTAACACTATTGCGTATAGACACATAATGTCATGTAAGAAACTGGCGAATACAATATCGTCAGACCCCGAGCATCCACTCTACACGCAGCTGTCTCCTTGCATTTCATCTGGCAGAACTAGAAGCAGCTATAGGAGGCTATATGCTAGAACTACCAAGTACAAAATCACCTCAGTACCATATCTGGCACAGTTGTTATGTGATGAGAAATCCGTTAGGTATGACACGATCACCTTACTGCGGCACTCTAACAAATAGTCCCATCAGTTTTTGTTTTCCTTTCCTCGTTACTACTACATTGTTGTTCTCATCTTCTATTACACACTAAGTTTATATTTCATATCCTGTGGTCCGTTGTTTAAAGTGTAAACGCAACGCTGTTCTTTTTATCTATTTATTTTTTATTTATCTTATATTGGTGTTGCTTTTTGAATTTAAAATCTTATAAAATTTATGAGGTAATTAGATGAGATAAATTGTAATGCACGCTGAAAATTCCATACCTTTACCACAGATACTGTTTGGAATAAAGCTGTTAATATTTTTATTTCTGGAATGCTAAGAATACTCCGTAAGGGTTCCGAGTTTGCTTCTTTGTATGGAAGTGCTATTGGTGATTCTAATTCCCTGTTATCAGTGTTGTGATTATTCTGTGTAAGTTTGATATGTATGTCGCCAATAATAATAATATTATTATTATTGTTATTATTATCCTCATAATCACTCTCCTTATTATTAATTTTACTTCAACATATTCCTACATACATCCGGACTACTCTATCATGGAATTCCATAAGTTTAATAGCATTTCCTGAAACCCACAATTACTACCTCAGATATTCATTCCAAATCACCTGCCAATCAATGTAGATCACAGGAAGATCTCATGAAGAGACGGAATTCGACATTGGTTCAGTCGTTATCACTGGCTGCCTGACTGGCCACTCTCCAGTCAAAATATCGGTTTGAATATGACGGTTTCATGCACATTGACAAACACGTGATCCTGGAACATGGAGGTATTTTAGGAAAAGTGACAATCACCCTTATTCGGTTTTGAGATATTTCCCACCAGTTGGTAGTGCGGTCTGAAAACATCAGAAGAGAAAATTATCTGGTGGGATTCCGTAGGAGATACTATGGAAAGCAAATGAACTGGGTAGGAAATATTGTTAGTGGCAGGAGAGATGAACTTTGTGATCAACACGCTGATGAAATGAAGAGATAGTGTGATGATGAGAAAATATTTAGACGCATATGGAAGCCTTCACCAGCTAGCGTGGTGAGGATTAGAGGGCTCTGAAAACTGAAACATTATGAAACCTCTTCACATAACGTCACAAGGCGGAACAGCTTCCTTGTGTGTTGTGTCAAGTAAATACCTTACTAGTGCCACACATGGACACGTTTTCAAGCCTCAGAGATTCCTCGCTGAGGATTCTGTACCATCAAAACTACTTTTGCAATAAATCCACCATTATCAATATCGTTTCTGTTATCATCATTATCATTGACATTGAAGTAACTAGTATTTTTATTATGAATTGAGATCATCATCTGTAATTAATAATAATAGTGATAATAGTTGTATTCATAAGTCTTCTGAATCAGCAGACAATCTTATGCACAATCACTCGGTTATGGTGTATTCCCCCACTTCATGATACTGTGATTTTCCGTGTACTTTTGCATGCGATATTTCACAATTCACTGTATTACATTCGGAAGTGGGTCATGTTAGGGTGAGCAGTAATATTTTCAGAACTCATTCACCTTAATCTTGTGCAATATTAGAATTCAAACACCTTATGTGTGCGTATGTGAGAGTTTATCTCAAATAAATTTTGCACTCATGATAAATTAAGTTTAAATAATAAAAATTTCCCAACTATAAAACCACACACTTCTCATGTGGGCTGCAAATTTCACAAAACCACCGTGTGCGTGATGGGAGAGAAATGAGAGTAATCTTTGAGATAGTAATTGTGCCCCCGCCTTGATATAACCTAGTTCTCTAACACACAATACGCTGTGAAATCTCTCACGGAAAAAGTGCACAGAACGCAGCAAGAGAAAAGACGATAAGCCAGCAACTAACTATCACACAATCTCAAAACAGCGTTTGCAGGATACTTGAGATGAAGCGTGTTAAAGGGTGGTGGTGATAAACCATCGGGTACACCAACAATGAAAACAGATATTCCATCGCACACGCACTCACAACACCCAAACTACTAGAAGATACTTGTTTCATGTGTGAGAGTTTCACACAAAACAGTGAGTGCATTGTAGAAAACGAAAGGGCACACGAGGTGAATCTCAGTTATTTTCCCAAAGCTGGAGTATAAATAGCCTACAATACAGCCGTGATATTATAGCTTCTCTGCAACAGAGAAATGGTCAAGGAAGATATTGTCCTACTGAAAGGCGTCGTTCTGCTTATTTCACGTAAGTCATTTTGCATATTCACTTCAACGGTAATGACGCTATTCCACTTGGGTCACACACACACAGACACGCACACACAAAATGTCTTGTGTCAGTTTCAAGTCTTCCACTGCATGCAATTAGTGCTTGATGTACCCTCCTGAACACAAATATCCGAATGAATTGAAAATACTAGATGCATGTGGATTTTCTATGCAGGCTTCCGAAGGTGTTTCCGCTGTATCTCAATCATTGACACCTATCGTTTTATAAGCACTCTGATAAGATAAAATGGAGGTGAAAAAGATGAAAAGACGACTGTTGCATGAAACATACACGTTTCATGTGATTTCAGTGAATATTTGTCGCACGAATACGTCATATCTTTGCACAGTTGATACAGGTGTGCTAATAACAGCCACGTATGTTTCTCACCTACTCTCGAGCTACTTCAGACAGTTGGAGCGATGAGTAGGCGCAGAGTTTGCGTGGAATACAATAACAGGAAACTGTGACTAGTAAATATGTGAGATGAATAAGCATCAATATCTCTGAATGTCGTATGAAACTTGTGTCATTCAGTTTCAAGAGTCACGTGTATGAAGATTTTTCATGTGAAAGCACTTCACCATATGCATTTCTTCTCATTTCAGTGTTGATCGCCATCCACGATGTGAAGACATATACACTAAAAGGTGAGTCAGACGGAGTTTCTGTGAATTAGTTTATCTTCATGTTAAGAAGGGATGAGCTAGACACTGAACGAGGGAAATCGGTCTCCTATCTAAAATTCGTCTTCGCGACTCATTCCAACAGGTAGACAACGACATCTTCCATCCTAGTGTCCCACTCAACTATCTTAGAGACAGACTTACATCAACTGCACGAACAATATCTCCGTTGAGTGTTCGCTTCAGTTAATAGGGAGTTTCGTGTCACTGACTCCAGCTTATTGCACCTTCCATCATTTCTCAAAAACACAGTTGTATGAAACTCCCTGCTTCAGTGAAGTCTGTTAATTTATTTTACAATCTGGACGAACTTGAGTTGGAGTTTACAGATTCAGTATTTCAGTGGCCTGCTTTATTATGCGCAGTGACAGGAGAGAGTCGTGCTTAACCAGCACTGGATGTTTGTTTTCAATACAAGTTAGATTTGTTTGTCAGATTTACACCCTGCAGGCGTAATCGGTTAACAATTGATACCGGTCACCAATTCGCCTCCGACATTGGTTAGGCTGACTTAAATGAAGTGTATCGTGCATGCTACTGACCTGTGAGTCGGACTGAATAATATATTGCTTAGTCACGCTTTCATGATTCAAAAGTAGAATTGCTTTCTGACTTGTGCATTCCCGTTGATCAGTTTCACTGGTATATTGTTGCTGTCAAAGTTATCAACACTAATCTCTTGTTTCACCCATATGAACTACATCCGATTTGCAGACAACTTGACGGATGCCATACAACAATATAGTCACGTATATCAAAAGGCCGAGTTGGTGGAATGTAAGTGAATAAAAGTGATTCTCTTTCTTCACTGACGATTACTTGTATTTGTGTTCATCACATACATGTTTTGTTAAGTCTCCTGAGAGGGTTCTACAATTCCTTCTTCTCCTTCACCTAGATGATCTGCTGAAAATGGCGACCAACAAAGACTTGAAATTCACACAAGAACAGTTTGAAATCGGTGAGTTAAGGGATAGTGTGAAGTGTGCTCAGTACAAGCGATACGATCCTTCTTGTGTTTGTGAATAGTGTAGACACTTTCCCATTGCTTCTGTTTACGTGTGCAATAAATGGACGCGTTCAAACTACTCAACGTCTCCAGTTCAGAACAAATTCGCTGACTTTCATTCATGTATTGTCACTGGGAGCGTTATGACGTTCATATACACAAGCCTAACATTGGCCAAACACGGATTTATATATGTCTGTAGCACCAGTATTCTAACAGCTCGTTTACATGTGTATATACATCTATATCGATATTTACATTCTGTGCAATCGTGAAGTTGTATTGTATCACTCACATCTAATTCACACGATAATCATTCAAGGCTGAACAAGAGTTGACACAATCAGCGATTGTGAGTTGATTTCCGAATGGATTGGAAGCCTGGGAGGACTCCACACTGCTCTGTGATGTCTGTTTTCAACCCAGTCGAACACTGTATATTTGAACGAAAGTGTCGACAGTATATATTCTGTGGTGTGAAATGTAAATCTAAATTTGTCCTTTGTACGGTGATGATTTGATCGATAAATTAGTGCTTCACAGGGATTCACTCTCAAGAAAACTTCCCTTCCACTCTTCTATTCAGAAGTAGCACCACGTAATGCATCAAACAGCTCGAATCATGATCGACATGTCGTCTTTACGATTGACAACAGAGATTCGTCTTATTTGTCTTATTGTTTACAGTCGAAATATTGGCCACATCAGTCCGTGTTTAAATACCTGAATTATCACAGTCACTCATCTACATCCTCATTTCTGCTTTCTCATCGACTGCAAATCGATTGAAGTTGAAGCTGTTGCTCAAACGTCTCGTGCAGACAGCATGCTCCAGACATGGCGTGTCAGTTCAACAGTGAATCACTAACTAAACCAGTTACTGACAGTCAATCAAAAGTCTTACTATCACTATCACCACTGATTCCATTCACTAGCAGAATTTAGTCTCTGAATTACAAGTCCACCGACAATAGACGAAAAGGCCTGCTTCGACGAGTCCTTTCAACTCACTGTCGATTCATGCAGTTTACAGTTAGAAGGACGAATTCAGTTTCACATGAACATCATTTCACCTCCCTCAGACGGTTGTCTCTGTGAATGAAACATCCTGTGAAGAGAATGTCTTGTCTGCTTGCTCATGATATATTTACTGCTTGCATCACTTGCTTATTATCTGTCGTCTCGATTTCAGAGCGTCGGAAAGTGGAGCGCGAATACATGTTGACATGGGCAGTCGGTTATCTTGAAGGTATGCTATGCATATTCCTCTCATCATATTGCCTATAAATAATGAGACTAATTGGGATTCAGCGTATATTGTGAAATAGACCTCATCATCTGTCTACCAGGAGGACTTTCACTTTACTCACGGCAATATTATTCACATCTGTGTGCAGTGTGACTTCACTAGGAATCGTAACCACATTGTTTGTGACACACATTTCAGGATAAAGCTATTCACAGGAATCTTCGACACACACGTCCCTCTTCCTTTCAACATCTCCTCACTTAACTCAGGATGTTCGCAGTGAATTCCATACGAATTTACATGTATATCTTGATAACGAGTAGAAGTGTGCATGAGTATATTACAGACGGCGTGTATTGCTGTCAGGGTAGTTAGTGAACAATAATGACAGTGATCTGGGCTATTCACACCATCCAAACTCCGACTACACAGAATTTAAAGTGGATTCACTGTTTGCTAAGCTGTCCGAATATTTACATCATCGTGCAACGCTTGACGTTCACAATTGGGACGACTCAATCACATGCATGCATATAACTTCACTCCATCTGAAAATCTTTATGACGAGGCTTATTACTTTTGTTTCCATTCAATCTGTTAGCTGTGAAAGATATTTGGGGATTGAGAAATAATGCAGACATCGCGAAACTACAACTTCAATATTCAGGTATGCATTTGCACAACACTTATGTGTGAGTGAGGATTTGTCATGCGAATCACACACTCATATGAATAGCTTTCCAACATGAAATCCAACATCGGATGTTCATTGCATCCTCATGGAGCGTGTATTTAACCAAATGGCGTGTACTCCGCCTGTATTAGCATTCTGTCCACAATGTATCCGATGGATTCACTCAAATGTCTGTGATCGGTTTTTGTATTACAGGTGAATCATCTCAAATTCCCAAGAACTCATGTAAGTTCTGGTTACTTTGAAGTATCTTTTCTGTCATATGAAGAAGCCACATGAAACACGTCCACGGAGGTCTGACTTCGTCAGAGTTTGACACGTGAGAATGGAGTGTAACCGTCAGTTTTCTTTGCATGAACATCGCGTGTCAACACCTAGTCAATTCATTGATAAGCTTCTGGAAGCCTTGATGACAGACGGACCAATACGCACACACATACACACACACCCTCGACGTGGTTTCAGACCACATCTCTTCACCAACGGGATTGGTGTGAAATTCGCTTATCGGTATATGCTCACTATGGAACATCAGCCACTGCGAAACACCAGTGTATTTCCTTCATCGAAAAGAGTATTTTGTTCTCCACTAATCACACTTCGAAATGCCTAATGGTAATGTTTAGTGGAGTAAATTCGTGTTGAATCTTCGTATTCCAGGTTATCACATGGAAAGTAGAACGGAAAATGAGAACACTCGAAAAACAATACGATACGGTGAGCGAGATTCATTATCCTATTCGACTGTGTGTGTGACAAGTGGACTGATACACATTTACATGAGAATAAGGACGGTGATCGAGAAGGCGTGGAGACAGAAATCACTTGTCCATGATCCAAAGACGATTGCGTGTAAAGAGAATGGCGAAAGAATAGTATTCGATCTCAAAACAACCTGACCACTTACCTCCAGATGAGTTGAAGCATGCGTTTCTTCTGCACAACACTATGATGAAACTTCTAAGATGTGAATACACACCGAGACGCCATGAGGAAATGAAATCACCTCTCGAGTCACTTACAATATGCATCATTCCCGGTCAGCCTGTGTCTACCACTGTCGACAACTTGAACATCTCGAACTGCAGCCGAAATGCACTGCTCTCAGTTTGTTTCCAACCTGTCCACTCAACCTGACTGCACACCAACGTGGTGATCTACACTTCTGCTCAAATCACTTGACGATATCTGTGCTGCCTATCACGGGATAATTGACAGCATTAGTGACTATACTGAGTAGTTCCGAACTGTAGACCTCACATATGTCGGACACACGACAATCTAGACAGTTCCACTTCACTCTCCTAGCTCCACGCTATGCCCAAATTCAAATTCAATTCGAATGTGGATCACCCATGAAAGTGATCGTTCTCATTTGTGATGTGTATATGAGTTTGATCTCTTCCGCCTTATCATCCTCTGTCTATCGTATGTGTTGTTTACTGACAACAGGTTGCGATGTCATGCATAAATATGCTTCGTTGAAATGGCAGACCAGATTACACCTAGATAACTTGACAGGTGAGTTCAAGTTGGATGAATTGTATGCAGTATATTTTTGATCATGTGGTGACTAAGAAATGGTAACAGAATGATTTCACGTAGAGATTCAACTCAACTTCAACTACTTTCATGTGATCGATTGAGTTTTGGAAAAGAATTCCTGTGTGTTGTGGCTTAGAAATCCAACGTCAGCATTTATCAGGATATATCTTGTCCAATTCACATTCAAATATTTCATCATGTCGAAATGTCGAGAAGTAGTGTGAATATGTTTTGCCAGTCTTGATTTCAGTTTCACCATTGATCAAACATTCACAAGGAATTCGCCACTGCCATTCTCCTCTATCAGATATGTGTGCTCATCGTCGAGTTCCACTGATTTGCTTTCAAATAGTCACATTTCACAGTTAAGGAGGTGTTTTCATGTCTCTCTTATCTGTGCTTCTCACTAAAGCTACATATCTGAGAGGATTGGAGAGAAGAGACTGCTCAAAATTTAAGGAAGACAGAGGTGAGTTGAAATCAGTGTTTCGCTGATGTCCACGAGTGTATTTCATCTGATTGCATTTCAGTTCATGTTGTTTGCATGTCACCGAGGACAGTATTGAGAATTCACTCCTACGCTCCCATCCATGCAGATATTCACAAAATCATTCAGGACGATCTCATTTTATATTGTATGAAAAGTTTCCGTGTACATTAGAATAGAGCCAGTAGCTGAGCGTCTGATTGAGAAGTGAACATTTCTTCTGTCAATTCTCTAGTCTTTTAAATGTCTAAATGGAGATTTTCTCCATGTTGAAGTCACATTTCTGCTAGTTTCTCCCAATGTGCTTGCTAATACTGAACATGACCAAACGTGGAACACTCGCAGGTATCACACACACCAGTGCATATTTCAAATGTCGGCTTGAATCACAAAGCCTTGATTTCTCATCGAGACGTCTACCATGATATTCGACTAAGGGTTGAGTTAGAAGATGAGAGAGAAGTCGTTCGAGGTTTCACGCAGGATGATTGCTTAGCATTCTCTCGTGTATCATTATCACGGGATTTCATTTTGTTATCACTTGAATAGGTGTAAATTATTTCTTGAAAAAAGAGGGATTCGCGAATGCCAAAGCCATAATGCAGATCCATCGAGGTGAGTGATATTTTGTCTTCTTCTTGTCCTCCTCCTCCTCCATCATCATCATCTTCATCATGGACTCGAATCACCACTCATTGTGGCCGTGAATTCCACACAGTCATTCGAAAGGATTTCTTGCATTCGATGTTTGATTTCAGGACACTCTACCACATCCGCACACCACTCTGAACTGATTCAGGCGACAACAGTCGCGGTCTGTAGACGAGTCTTCCGTGTGCTTCCCTTATCATTCGCTAATTTATGCTCACAAGTCTTGTTTCCAGCATTCATATCATGACTGCATGAAATTGGATTTCTGCTTCACATGTGTTTCAGGTTTCACTGAAAAATATTGTCTGTCAGCATTGAACGAATTCATCAAGTACGAGGGCGTAAAACGTGAGTTGAGTATTCCGTGTATTACACTTTTGAAAAGAGAACTCGACATTTTCAGCAGGAGAACACAGTCACACATTGAAGTGAATATTGCATTTGAGCGAGAACTGATTTCAAAGCTAACCTCTTCTTTGAGATTTCCGACACAATTTTGAATTCATTTCATTTGACCTGATAGACAGTGATGTAAATCGCAAACAGTCTCTCCACTCTGCTAATCGTGCTCATTTACTTCTCATATTCACTTACAGTTTCATCGGACTCAAACAAACAAATGAAGGTGCTTAATGACGCGGTGGGAAATTTCAACAAATCTGCTGGTGAGTTGATTAAATCGTCTATCTATCAGTGTCACTAGGGAGAGTGAGTAATCCATGTGCTTCATGCACCAGATTAATAAATTCCACGGTTCAGTGATCATGTCGTCTTCACGCTATCTAGGGCAAGTCTTTTGATTTCCTGCTACCCAACCAAAATAGGTGACTTGTCTCACATTTCGCCTAGCTCCTCTACTCCTCAGATGGATAGTGTTACAAGATTCCTCAACAGAACCAGCAAGTCAACCTCGTCATCCAGGTCATGAATGTCTTTATCATCAAAGAAGCATCACTCTCGGGAAGTTGGGAGTTTTGTTATGCTTCCAGGAGACTTGATACGGCGTTGTTATGGAGCAACATCTTCGGACTTGAGCATTCCTCTTTGTGAAATATTGAATATTCATGTGATTATAGGCCGTTCCGATAGCAGATGAGATTTCCATATGTCAACACGTGCAGAAAACATTGGATTCCTCCTCGGTTCCGTCGCTTAACTAGACGTACTGGAACAATCAGTAGTCGAATGTTGATAGTTGAGTGCACATATACAAAATGACTTCTCGGAATATCGTTCACACATTATATGTGTAAGTGCCTTTCTTCAAGTTGACAGTTCACTAGTCCTCGAAGATTCCCAGGTGAATTGAATGTTTCTGACTGTCACTTCAACTATGAGACCGGTTGTCTGTGCTCAAGGTAACAAGGCAGTCGATATGTCAGAGACAACACCCCGCTGTAGGACTGATAGTCGTCATGTGGAATTGTGGTCATGTGACTTAAACATGAACATGGACATGAAATTCAACTGTCCTGGTGAAGAACATGTCGCGGTACTCCCAGCTGTAGTGAAGCAGAATTCATACATGCGTTGCAGTGAAATGTGTGTTTCGATTCCAGTGTGAACAGTTGTTTGATTTTTATACTGATTGCAGTGTGACTTGGTTATTTGATAGAATATCTCGGAGGAGCTGTGAAGACCATGGAATACAGAAGAGTGGAATTCATGAGATGTACGTTGACGTGTGATATGAGTGATGTGCTTTCTAGATGACCATCCTTATCGGAGAGCAGTTGCATTGGTCAAAGAAATGGACGAGGAGAGCAAGCATGAATACGGTATGTCTCCTTAATAGATGATTATCATGTGCCTTGTAAGGGTGGTGTCGCGCTAACTCAGTGTTCTTTTTTGCACGACTGGATCAGATTCAGTGTGACTTCATTTCGGGTGGTTGTTGGAAGACAGAAGTCTATCCATGTATAGCCAAGTGGATCTACTTTTGATTTTGTATTTCCTCGTGACTCGCATTCCGATTTGGATATATGTTGAAAGATACAGTAAGATAGGGCAGAATGAAGTCAGCTGGTAGACTGGATGATATTCTAACTTCTCAGTAGTTCTTGAGACTGAAATGTGCTTTCCAGTTTATCGGTGAAACAAATAAACACCAGGGAGAAGCCCGAAAGTATAGTTTTCAGTCCGAGGATTTTATCATTTTGAAATAATGTGCACTACACACATGTCAAACGCCTCTTATTTTCAGCACCCCTGGAGACCTCTGAAGAAGGAGATGAGTGAAGACGCATTCATGACAGGTGAATGACAAGTAATAATTCCGGAAGGTGCACGATTGTCATCGGTGGTCAGGAGGCTTTTCTCTCTTTTCTCTTAATAAACGTTCATGCTACAAACTTCTTCTCGCTTCACTCCCTCCAATTTCACACGTCGATCTACTAAGTGTGCAATCTCGGTGTCAGCTGAGAACTGTGATTTAGTCTTTCATGAGTAAATCGATATGAGCGATGATGGTGAAGATCATGGTGATGATGACGATGGTGATGTTGAGATGCACTGAGAAAATGTGTGTGTGTGTGAGGGGAAATCACACAGATACATTATGAAAAATATTAAAGGTGGCAATATTATGAAAGTGAATTGTGTCGAGTCAATTTCTGTTGCATCTGTTAAGGGCGATATTTAGGACAGAGAATTCAACTAATCATGTGGCTATTTGAGTGAGTGTGGATTTGTTGATCAAACCGACGATAATACGATGGACAGAACTAACTGTGGCCAGCAGGTTGAACGGCGAATGAGCGGACGAGGATATGTGGCTCCCAGAAACTAACGTGTAAATGTCTTTATACTCGATTGGTTTTCCGACTGTTCACATGTATTTGTAAGATGTGACAATGGCCGTAAACCAAAATTATTCATCTCACAACAGCGCCTGCAACGCGCTTGGCAGAAATGATATGTTAGGCATGATTGAGGAAACAACATCTCATAGTTATCCATAGGGTGAACTCAACATTGTTTTAGCCACATGGAGTGACAGACACTTCAGACTCTCTTACATTTGAAGATGACAACAAACTGAACAGAGGAGGACAGATGACGAAATAATCATCACACTCGAAAACCAGAACTGGATTTGGGAGGGTAGTTCGTCGGTCTAGACAATGCTTAAAGTCAGTAGTACTCTTCTAATTACTTCTTTCCGCACTAACTGTAATGTAGTGCAGTGTGGTTCATTGGAGAAATACGTGTCTAACAACAATTATTAGTGATCATGCTGTATAGGTGAATCAGAATGTTACGTTAATAAAAAATGAAAATATTCGCGTGATCGGACGTGTAATGTGGTCGAATTATCTCGGAAGAAACAAAATGTGGTATGCAAGGATAGCGACAAGATATTTCGGAACATGAATTATAAGATAACTCAAGTCATTGGAAGAATCGCTAGTAACGAAGTGAAGGCGAAAACAATTTGTTATGAGTTGAGTTCATTCAGTTACCGATCAGACATATGAAGCCTTGGCTCTAGTAAATGATGATGTGACAGATTAGGAGTGGAGGTGACATAGTCAATTCAGGCTGGAAGTCAAGTTACTGAGTTAGAGAAGTACTAACCACATCTTATTTCTCAATACACATGTTAGGCAGTAACCATCTCGTGATGACGATGGCCTCTGTGAAATTCACGAGGCTTGAACCTGCTTGTCTGTTTAGTAATTTGATGCAATCCAAAATGTGCACCTGATGTCCTGTGTCACTCAGACGTCTTGTAACTCGACCACTCAACACATTTACCTTCTCTCGATCGCGAAGATTTCAGTAGGCGTTCAGAGAATCTGAGATACACCATTTATCTTCTTTCTCCAATCTATCTACTTCATCAGCTTCATGTATATTGACATGCACAGTTTCGGTTTATATTTAGTACAACAGACTTTCTCGGATAGATAGTGATGAATGCGAAAAAGGAAGCTGAAGTAGTATATTGCATTGCGTTCTCATGATGACGGAATTTTGTGTGGCTGGGCACATTAACAGTACAAGGAAAATCTTTAAATTTGGCCTAGTATACTCGTTGGAGTTAGAATTGAAGATAATCGGTGTGAAGAAATGAGTAAATTCACACAAACTCTGGTGATGGCGAGTTGCATCCTAATCTGTGAACAACTTTGCGATTCAGGTCATTCAACCACATGTGATTTATCCTTTGTCAAGCGCCTTCTTTTACCTTGGTCATAATACCGTGCTTTCATTTTATTCTATTTTACTACTTGAATTCACTCCACTCCACTTCACTTTCACCGTCTTTATTCTTATCATCATCTTATTCTTAAATTTTCAGACAGCACGTGATCTACAATTTAAGATCTCTATACCAGTTCACTTATTTAGTAATCTGTGAAAGTTCTGTGATTCATCCACTTCAACTCTACCACCGTAGTACATCATTTTAATTGTCTTTATTCTTACCATGTGTGCAGTATTGACCATTGAGCAATTTCTAGTGTCATTTAATGCCTTTCTCCGTTATACAAATACGACTGTACAGTTGGCTTGAAAATGAAGTCGTTGAAAAGAGATATTTCTCCGCTGAACAACAGCTGTGTTTCTTCTTCCATATTATTTTGTTTATTAGATATATCTATCACAGGGTGAAACAGGTTTTCCTTATGAATTAATGGGTATATTTTGTGAAATTTATTTCGATAAAATCTCAGTGTTATGCATCAATATTTACTGCTGACGATTTAACGCTCAGTGCAATTATACTGTGACACAGTTGCCAACTTTTACACTTATATGAACCCTTCTCAGACTTTCTAGCCCTCAGTGATTCGGTGAAAGCACGGTGTGTACAGACACGAGGACATGCACAATGCGACAAAGGTTTCACGAGATAGAGATACATCAAAGACGAAACAGACTTCATCTCAATCTCAAGAAGGTGACGACGCAGCCTGCAGCACGCGAAATTGACGGATGGAGCAAATGTGGCAAATGGACCATAATCGACTGCGTGGAACCCTCTGGGTTAAGTTGAAGGAATTTGAAGGAGCCACTGACAGATCACGGGTCGAATTCAACAATTAGAACTTCAAGAACGAACCTGCAAATGACAGCTTCACCACAGCTATCAGAGGAATGTTAGTGAAATTATGTGGCATCAGTAAGGAAACCTGTGTGAAAGAACACTGGAATTCTCTGAAAGTGATATTTCGGAAAGGCGTGTTGCCAATAACTGGGAGGAAGAAGAGACAATACAAGTAACGCCTCTCTACAGACACGTGAGAATTTAGGGGGAATATAAGGATGGCAAAATGGAAGATGAACCAGTACGAAAATGGACACCGAAAGTAGTAGCTCAGTTCGATGTGCATTACAGGTAATAAAGAAGCGAGGAATAGTGCTAGGAAATAAGGAGTAAAATTCTACGATACACTGGAAACCGAGGCCGGAGAGGCAGGTGAATAGAGGTACGGAAATACACAGTGTCATATCACCAGCTGGCTATCCGATGCGAAATCAACACAGGGAGAAC